TTTCATTCGGTTACAGTATGGATCTTGTGTTATTAATGGGATCCATTACTTAACCAAAATCTTATCAGATTCGGATCGGATCCGGTATTATTTGAACCCAAACAAATTTGTAATGTACTTGTAAACGTAAATAAAGCTCTATTGTAATAAAACTCTAGTGATTATGTAATGAGAAGAAGATTCAAATCAAAATGAGCAAAAAACACTTGCATTCATAACTAAAAGAGGTTCAAACGTAAAAGAAAAGAGAGAACATAAGTCTAAATAACTATAGAAGAAAAATTGAAATTAAAATGTCGTATAGGTCGAATAATGAAATTATGCCATAAAGGTAAGTATAAAATATTGTGTATATTCTTGGTTTTCTTCGGGTTTGATTTTTGTTATCGGATAAAATTCGGAACGTACCAAACACCAAACTAATTCAATATGATAACCAATCGATTATTTGACAAGAACCAAAACCGGCTACTTCGGATCGGATGCGGGTTTGGATTTCGGATTTAATTGTGTTATACATTCTAGCTATCAATATAACAATTTATATAGTAATATTATGGTCGTAGCACTCGAAGTATAGGAAGTATATATAAACAAATATGTTTTAACCATAATATTGTGAATATAATGTTAAGACAGTTATCATCAAAGATACGTAACTTCAGAAATACTAACAGTCTTATATAGATATTAGATGTTAATCAAGTTACTAGACTTAAACCCAATCATGTAAAACGACACATTTAAGATCAAAATTTGTTAGATAATATACATAATGCATATAAAGATGTTAGTCTCGAGTGATGCATACATGTGTGCACTTGGAGGTAGAAGAATGTGAAAGAAAGAGCTGTTTTGATTTGTGACCAAAAAAAAAAAGAGCTGTTTTGATGCTGACTTTTACTTGCATTACTTTCTCAGCACAAATCTTATATATTGATTTTGCACTTTTCATTCTATTCTGATCAAACACAAATTAGTAATGCATCTATATCATTATAGAGACGTAACAATGAATAATCTCAACATTATATTTGATCGATTTATTATATTTTACAATTGACAAGCTATCTCATCTAAAGTTACATTTTACCCAATCCAATTAGTTAAAATATATTACACATATAATTAGAAAGTTTCGTCTATTGAATTTTAATCTTCCTAGAGCCTGCAACGCGATTTGTTAATTGTCATAATAATTAGTGGAACTCAAACTCGGATCAATCTATGAAATGTTTGAAGATTTAAAATTGTATAGTTTGGTTTAATTCATCGTTTTTTTAAACTACAAATGATGATTTTTCAACATATTGCACTAAACTAATCACGATGCTTCGCTATGGAATTAGAACTTAGCAGCAATTGTTCTTATATTTCTAACCTATGTTATTAATGCATAAACAAATTGTCTCTAAAAGGAAAAACATGTGAAGTTTATATTTTCTCATATAAACTCTCCGACTCCGAATTATGTATTCGTAAAAAAAATTATTCTCGATTTAAGTAATGAAGTATGGTATTTTCGTTGTAATAGGAAGAAAGAAAAGCAGTTTAGAAACAAATGCTTTTTTTTTTTTTGAAACTCTGAAACAAATGCTTTGAATGGTGATATATTGCACCGTCCGGA